GTGCTGTCCGTGTCTTTCCATCTCCAGGCCCTCCTTTTTTCCTGGCCCCTGTAATCCTGCTGCCGTGCCACCTTCGCCTGCAGCCCACCTGCCACCATCTCACACTGTCTGCGTTCCCCTCTTCCAGCCGCTGGCAGCCAGCAGCCTCTCCTGCCACCACCCCTGTTGCTCCTCCTGGCCTCTTCCTGCTGGCTCACCATTGGCCTTTGAAGCCCAGCATGGCTGGTCCTGTTCCTGCCCCCCCCCCCCCCCACGAGCGAACAAATCGTTCATCACACAATCTTTTGATGGTCTCCAGCCCTCGATATATGATTTTAGAAAGCAAAGCATAATATAAAAGGGATACAAAAGAAAAAGAGGGATTATATAACAGATTAGATGTATCAAGATTATTATACATTGCAAGATATAAAGAACAGAAAAAGTAAATATTTCTCCCCAACATCCCCTTCATCATATTTTTAAGACATTTTCTATAGGATGCAATCTTCCTTATGTCAAAGTTTTGAAATTTGAATTTCATAACTAATCTATTTTGCAACTGTATTGTTAATTTCCTCCTTATTGCATATTCTATGTTATATACAGTACAAGAAGGGGGACCCGCAATACTCATGGGAGGGGAGTATTCCCCACAGATCCCAGCCTGCAGAAGCAGGAGGACCTCTGCAGGAGGAGGAAGCGGCAGTAGGTGAACCCAGCAGGCAGACCCATAAGGATGGTGGCGTAAGACCCAAAAGGCCTGCCAAGACTTCTACCCCCCCCCCCCCCCCCCCCGGCAGCAGCATGCCATGTTTACATCTGGCCAGGCAGACAGAAGCACCCTGCCACTGCCTGAGCCTTGCAGGACTGCCCGACTGGCCATAACATCTGAGTAGGATTGATCTGATCTGTACTGTTCCATTCCTGCATTTGTTCCAGAATTAGTCTCTGTACCATGTTCCCCTAAACATATCGTGCAAACGAATAACAGTGATCAATTATGAAATGTTGATCGTTAAAAGCTATCATTCAATATAAAAATACACCAAAAATACAAAACAAAAAAGCAGTGAGATCGTCCTTTCATTAAGATCCTGGCCGAATCCCTAAAATGCTCGGAACAGAATCTTCAGTGATAATTAACATAGACATTTCATATTTTATCACCTCATGTGTTTGTATGATGTGTTAGATACTGGGTTTCTTATACACTAGTTACATATTTTATTCCAAGAGTTTTGCATTTTTGGTAGCAAAACCCGGAGATTTTTGCCCAGTAGTAAACTGTGGCCTAGGGATAAATTCACTGTTCCCTCTGTTCTATTGCTTAACTCCATGTTAATTAGGAGTATTTCCAAAATTCATTCTGGATTTGGAGCATATCCAGTTTGGTTCAGTTTACCATTCCTTTCTGTCTGTCTGTATTTTTTTTTTACTTCATGCTTTTCCCAAGGAGTTCAGATGGAATATGTAGCTCTCCCCACCACCATTCTATTCTGTGACACAGATTATGCTGAGGGAACAGCTGACCCAAGATTACCCAGTCATTTTCAGGGCTCATGAATAAAAAAACCCCCAGACATGACAAAGAATATATATTTCCATACATACATAAAGTACAAATTGAAGGCTCATAGGGCCTCAATTTGCCTTGGGGTCATGAAGGGAAGAGTGAACAGGATTAATCCTTCAACTTTAATATGGTACTCCTAATCACAACTTTAGGGGTACTTTAATTACTACCACTGTTTAAGGAGTTTTACGGAAAATGGCTCTGACAGGGCAAGGACCACCTTATTTTCCTTCTCTGGGGCTTGTCTCCAATGATGATTGCCTAGGAACACTATCCTGATCCCTTGCAAGGATCTGATTGGAAGGGAGAAATGCCATTACCTGGGAAATCAGGAGAATCAAAGAAAAACAAGATGCCTTTTGCTCCTGTATGGCATGCAGAAGGTTTCAGGTTCAATCCCCAGCACTTCAAGCTCAGTGAATGAGGTGGTAGGTGATATGAACAATCTCTGGCTGAGGCCCCGGAGAGCTGCTGCCACTCTGAGTAGGCAATACTGACTTTGATGGACCAAGGGGTCTGATTCAATATATGATGATTTCTTGTGTGTGTTCATGTATATGCTGATGATAGTAAGCAGCTGAACACACACACACACACACACACACAACTCCACAGATTTTTTTGGCAGTGTGGGCCATAATGCCTTGTTGTTGTTGTTCAGTCGCACCATATCATAATGCCTTAGAATCTCACATTTGTGTTTTCTGGTCTGGAAATCATGGTAGTAACCCAAGACAGTAATTTTTGTTTATATTCTCAGTTTGGAAATTTGAGGATGCACCCCTCTAGTGCAAACACTGCTCAAAATAAATTATGACATGAAGCCAGATGTACAACCAAATTGAGATTGCTTATTGACAGTATTTTATCAGTTCACACATGTACATTAGTAACTTACAGGAGAGGAAGAGACACATAGGGCAATTATTTCATAAGGCATGGGTTTCAGTTTTATCTACCATTGCTATTTTTTGTTTTATTGTTTTTATTGTTTGTTGATTTTGAGTTGTGAGCTGCCTTGAGCCCGTATAAATTAAACAAACAAACAAACAAATAAATAAATAAATAAAATGTGGGGAACTGAAATATGTGGCAGACTGAGCATGTACATCATTCTGCAGAAACCTGGAAATAAAAAATAGAGCAATGGGGAATTCCTAATGCACTGGTTCTACTGTAGACACAAGACCAAGTAACTCAGAATTCCAAAATCAATGGAGAACATTCAGATGAGAAGTTTGGAAGCATTCCTTACCTGGGCCTATTATTTATTTATTTATTTATTTTCCAGGTTTTTACCCCGTCCTCCTGGCCAAAGCTGGCTCAAGGCGGCTCACACAAAAACAGATAATTACATTAAAACATAGTTGTGGTTAAAACAATATAAAAGCATGAGTTTGGTATTAGCAATGGCCTGCCCACAGAAGGACAAAGACAAGTTCCATTTCCTCCTTCATCCCTTTTTCCTACTAGAACATAAGCCTTGTCAGCTACCACAGAAGTCTGAATGGGTGCTGTGGACTCTGTTGAAGGGTGTGTTGCCATCTGTAGGAGTCCAGTGTGGCTGGCTTTCAAAAATACAGAACTGATGACTAACATTTAAACACCTCCACACACTTTGGAGTCATAGGCCTCTACGGCTGAGAGCATCTACTCCTGAGCGTCTCATTTAGATTCCCACAAAGATGAATTATTCGGTCACCCTGATGCCTTATGGGGAAAATTGGTTTGTCCTTCTCTTTATCAGAATACTGATTTCGGGTAGAATGCATCTTCAGGATCTGGGAATGGGTGGTGTTCTAAACTGATGCACTGTGGGGAAATCTCCGAGCCTTCAAGCAACCACAAAGTTACGTAGATTTGTTTACCAAGATGTTGAACATGCAGCTCTTTGGGCCCAGGGAAGATGCCAGCAGTCAGCGTTGGAACCGTGTTGACATTTTGTCTGAATTCTCTGCGAATAAAGGCAGGCCTGTTTGAAGAGAGCCGTGCTGTTTGCCAAGCAGAACAATGAGAAATTGTATTTACTCTTGGGGGCAGGAGGGATGGAGAAATCAGAGAAATGTACATTCTGTTTACCAGACCTTGCATGCAGTGGGGAAAGATGAGTGTGAGAGAGAGAAAGGAAGAAAGGATGGAAAAGAAGCCAAGGTGGTAGTTCCCTGGTTAAGAATGAGGAATGAAATTTCACCGGCCTCCAGAGTTTAGAACATCATCTTTGGCCATTATCTAAGCCCTTCAAGATCTCCAGGGATGATGACAGCACCATACAGTCTTCTCTATGAGGCACCACAAGTGTTGACATAGCCATTGAACAAGCAGATGTCCAGAAGGCTGCTCACCCGGTGACTCTCGACTTGCATCATTGGTAGAGGTAACCTTTCTTTTTGACCCATGCAGCAGGGATTACTTGCCACCAGATGGAGGAATGATGAGCCAGGGAGACCCATTCCTAGACCTGTTTTGGACCCTGAGATGAGACGTTACAAGTTTGGTATCCTCCACCATCTACATCTGTCTTCCTATCAAGGTTGCTAGAGGATTTAACCCCCTATGTAGATAAGGTATGGCAATATGTTCCTCATCTGGCAGTCTTTGACTCCACCTGTTCTTGTCTTGGGGTATCTAAATAGTATCCGATCAGTGTCTTTTTGGTAAACTTTTAAAAACAACAGAAATGCTGGTTCTAATCAAAGAATCCTAATTTCTGAGTGATATGAATTATCCAAGCTGAGTAAAGCTATGCAGAATTTATTCCAGGTTTTCAAAGGAATTTGGGGAGAATGGGTTGGCGGTAGACAGCAAGGTGTGATTAGGGAGCTGGATACAGTAAATTTGGGGGCTGGCCAAGGAACTGAAGCCACAACTTCGTCTGCGAGAAATACACATCAGTGCCTGTTGGGTTTCTCATATATCACTATTTTTTCCCAAGCTTATGAACTTCTTGGAGGCAACTGGCTGGCCACTCTTGGGGGGGGGGGGGAGCTGCGCCCTCTTGGGGGGGGGGGGGAATCCTGGATTATATGGATCCCTCCTCTGATCCAGTGGGGTCCTCATTACAAAAGATAGAGTCATGCTGGACAGGTCTATTAGCCTCTATTAGCCATGCAAGCTAAGGACAGCTCTTCTATGTTCAGAGGCAGTCTACCTCAGAATACCAGATAACAGGGGCAAACAGCAGCAGCCACCACCTTCATGCTTTCATGCTGAACTTCCAAAGGTATCTGGTTGCCCATTATTGGAAAAAGAAAGATGCTGGAGTCGATTGGGCTGCTCCAGGAGGGCTTTTTGTTTTAGGCCTTGTTGTACAACCTGGAGGTTTGGAAAGTGGGATACAAGGAAGACAGATGGAAGGGGGGGCAGGATTTCCTAGGACCCATGCCAGTTTAGTGTAGTGGTTAAGATCGGTGGACTCTAATCTGGAGAACCGGGTTTGATTCCCCACTCCTCCACATGCAGCTGCTGGCGTGGCCTTGGGTCAGTCCCAGTTCTCTCAAGAGCAGTTCTCTCAGAGCTCTCTCAGCCCCACCTGCCAGACAGGGTGTCTGTTGTGGGGAGAGAAAAGGAAGGAGATTTTAAACCAGACTCCAAGTGAAGGGCAAGGTATAAATCCAAGTCTCCTCCTCCTCCTGTTGCTGCTGTTGCTTCTGCTTCTGCTTGCTCTTCTTCTTCTTCTGCTGCTGCTGCTTCTGCTTCTTTTGGAAGTTGATGACAAAGCATCTCTGCTCATGTCTTGCCTTGAAAACCCCATGAGGGGTTGCCATAAGTCAACTGCAACTTGATGGCACTTTATTATTATTATACCTTTTAAGTAACACAACACCATCAAATTTCATATGAAGCGATATTTGAAATTAATGTGAAATACATGCTCAGGTGAAATATTGGCTAGAACTCTCGGGAAGTGCAAAGTATGTTGATGTGTCCGAGTGCATGTGTGTTTCTGTTCATTCTGATGGGATTCTTGCAGATTGCCGTGACTCAAAGAGATGCCCCTCTTTTCATAGGCGAGCCCCTTCTCTATCATCAAAGCATGCACCATCTGCTAGTCTTGGCATCCTTTTGTCTTTCCTCTCTTCCTGGGAGCTCAGCAATATACCAAAGGCCAACATACCCAGGTATGGATAAGACTGCACACCTACAAAGGGATCCCAGTGTGGTTTTTGCTCATAATCTGATGTAAATAGTAAAAAGCTCTGTGACGTGCCTCACATCTGCCCACAGAATTTCCAGGAGAAATGCCTGCGCCTGGCTGGTATCTGCTGCAGATCCCAGATAACTGTAGCATGATGAAGGAAGGAATACCTAACTTGAAGATCTTCTTTAAAAACAATACCGGAGATGGGGGAATCCCATCTCTCTCTCACTGTCCTGTCCGGTTCACCTTCTAGGTGTGATCGACACACAGCCACTTAACAGTCTCGTATCATCTTTATTTCACTCCACATGCAAATCATCGACATGGCTGTGGAATTGAACCAGACCATAAAGATGTAACTTTCCACCCAGTCATCAGCTTGGATCGTGAGTAATGATCTTCTGAATGCATGTGGAGTGAAATAAAGACGATTTGAGTCTCTTAGGTGGCTGTGCGTTGATCACATCTAGAAGGCACTCAGCCCAGCTGGGGCTAAGCGCTGGACAGGACATGTTGAAGGGGCACATGATTGCTCTCTTTGGTCCTTTCCGCACTTGGATCTCATCCCTGGTTTGATCAGAGTTCAGCTCGGGACACAATACCTTGCCGCTATCGCTGGTTATAACAGCATCCATTTATTCCGGGACCAGCGTGGGACAAAACCGGGGTGACATCAATGTAATGTGGAAACAAAAAAAACCCCAGGATAATTACCGGGGTGAACTCGAGTGTAGTGTAGAATGTAAGTTCGGGGACAGGGTTGAACCAGGATTTACGGTCTAAGTATTTGAAGGGCTGTCACTTAGAGGAGGGCAGGGAGCTGTTCCTGTTGCCAGCAGAAGAGAGGACTTGCAAGAATGGGTTTAAATTAAGGGTGGGAAGGTACCAGCTGGATATTGGAAATACCTTTTCTACGGTAAGAGTTGTGCAAGAGTGGAACCAGCTGCCTGGGGAGGTGGTGAGCTCCCCCTCACTGGCAGTCTTTAAGCAGCGGCTGGACAGACACTTGTCAGGGATGCTCTAGGCTGATCCTGCATTGAGCAGGCGGTTGGATTAGATGGCCTGTGATTCTATGATTCTTTTTGAAAGGAAAATGTGGAAATGTGCAGTGGTTTGTGATTGTAAATCATGCATACAGGCCATGCTGCTAGAACACATCTGTGCAAAGCAGATGTGCTTACAGTCACATAGAAGCCTAGACAGAATGGGGGGAAATCCCCAGTACTGGGGATTTGATAGCACTAATGCATAAAAAGCACCACAAATGCCAACAAAACTTTATTTGGAGTGAGGAATATATGAAAAAAGCTGAAAACTAGAGAAGAAAGATGCAAGCGTTCCCTGTTGCTTTGCCCTGTTAAAATCCCTGTTGAGAATGTCAGCTTGGATATTTTCTGGCATCACTGTCTTTATTATCACATCATGAACAATGCATGAGGACTGAGGTCCCTCATGTTCTAGGCTGACTTCCTTGGCTTTGAAACACTGGTGAACTCTCTGTGGCGAGCAGCGGTGGAGACTGTGGGGGTATGTCTTTGGGAAGGGGGTGTGCTTGATCAGCGCCTGTGGTAGGGGTGTGCACTGGGGGAAAATAATTTTTTTAAAATTCCATATCATAATTTAAGAAAGGGAAGGCATATTGGTTTTAAGAATTCTTGGAAATGTTGTTGTTATATGGTGAGACTTGCCAGGGTCTATATTTGTTTTTATTGAGAGCAGATCAGATATCTGCCCATTGTTTTCCATGAAGGGAAAATTGAAGATTTCCCTGAGAGGACATTTTCCCCCACCAAATGGGAAAATATCACAGACCCTAATCCATCCTCTTTTATTAAGACTTCCCAAGGTCCAGAAAGGTCCAGAAAAGGAAAGGGAGCCTACCTATCAAAATCTAAGCAATTAAAATGTGACATTACCCACAATCACTAGCTAATTTGCAGAAAGGTGAAAAAAGATAACCCACTAACTGAAGGCAACCAGAAAAGCCAACATGGCAAGAAAAAAAACGACCCATCATGAAAAATGAGAAACAAACTCCTCAAAAAAGGAAGGCAGAAGATCAAAGCAAGCTAAAGGTTAAACTTCACAGAACCCAAAACAACAATGAAAACAGTACCTCTCCCAAAGTCTTCCCACCTCCTTTATGAACCCTTCCCTGGGGCGAAAAGATGGAGGAAAGGCTAGCTAGTAAAAATAAATAAATAAAGTAGACCAGTCTGTCATGGAGTGCAGGCCAGGAAGGACCGGCCTGGATGGGGTCTAGCATAATCTAAGAAAGGCATCTCTCCCCAGGTGCAAGTAACAGCGTAACAGACACATAGCACAAAATGTCCAACATAATGAAAAGAGCAGTTTCAAATTTCCCTCCTCTCCAAGAAAAGCGATGTGAATGGCCAAAGCAACTCGCCTGATCAGTCCCAGGGCTTTGATTGGCTGGAAAAAAAGTTGTTTCCTGGGGAATGCACTCACAAACTGTGGTGCTAGAGGAGACTGAACAACTCACTTTAATTTTCACATGGTTATCAGCCACTGTTTGCAGTAAGAGTAACTTCATAAAACGTTTGTGTGACTTAAATTTTTGAACTGCACAAATGTTCTTTTGGGACTACACATTTTGTGTCTGGTTGCAATTTTAAATAAAGCCCTGAAATACTTTAACCTTGGTGAATTTTAAGGGAATAGCAATAAATAATTAACAGTACCATTCTAAGCTGAATTATGCCATTGATGTCCATGGTTACTTAGAAGGGTGCAATTCTTTTAAGGAGGGCATCATAAACATTATTACATTCAATACTTTTACAAAACAGTTCCCCTCACTCTCTACATACCCCAAAATATCCAACAGAAGCCATGATTCTTCAGAAGTTTGAAGCAACTCAAGGAGAAAATTAATTTTTTTGCAATGAAATTTTATTTATTTAATTACAGTTATTTTTATATACCCCTTTCTCCCCAGTAGGGACCCAAAGTGGCTTACATAGTTCTCCATTTTATCCTCACAACAACTCTGTGAGGTTGTTCAAGTGGTGAGCATGTGACTAGCCCAAGGTCATCCAGCAGGCAAACTGGGGAGTTGAACCTGAGGTTCCCAGATCCGATGCCTGGGAATTCTGCACTGCCCAGTTCCCTCCAGTTCTAACGATACCCAGGGTTCTTTTTGTAGAAAAAGCCCAGCAAGAACTCATTAGCATAATAGGCCACACCCAACAGCAGGAACTCATTAGCATATTGGGCCACACCCCTGACAGCACAGCTCATTAGCACATTAGGCCGCACCCCCATGTTACCAGAAGTGTGGTCATCCAGCCACACCCACCTTTTGCTTGTTATTCTGTTTACCTTGTTTGTTGTCAAAACCCAGGGCCTTTTTTTGTAGCAGGAACTCCTTTGCATGTTAGGCCACACACCCCTAATGTAGCCAATCCTAATGAGTTTCTGCTGTTGGGTGTGGCCTATTATGCTAATGAGTTCCTGCTGGGCGTGGCCAACTTGGGAGTCAGCCGGAACTCCGTTCCTGTGCGTTCCTGCCCCAAAATAGCCCTGACGATACCCTTCTTCATGGCCCTTCTGGTTTCTCTTCTCAGCAACACCACCACCTCTCCAACATTTGCTGGACCCAATAAACAAGATTGTGCACACCCAGAGAGGGGCTACCGTCACCTTGCCCTGTGTTCTGAGGGCACCGCTCCCCCAAAACTATAAGGTGAGATGGAGCAAGGTGGAGCCGGCTGAATACATGGAGGTCGTGATCCTGATCACCAACGGGGCCCATCATAAGACCTACGGTCCGCTGGGCAGCCGGGTCCGCTTAAGGCGCAGCCACCGCTACGACGCCTCTCTGACCATCTCCAATGTGGCTCTGGAAGACGAAGGACGCTACCGCTGCCAGCTGATCAATGGCCTGGAAGATGAGAGTTTGTCTCTTGTACTGCAGTTAGAGGGTAAGGTCCGGCCCAGCCGGTTTCTGTAGGAACAGCTGCCATAGTTCTCTCTGGAACATGCAGGACTTGAAGCAAACTCAGTGCTGGCGGTAGATAAGCATGAAACTGTTTGACATCAAGTCAGACAATACAACCCTACAGTTGTGTGTGTGTGGGGATCATAAGTAGGGTTGCCCGTAAGGCTGCCATCCTCCAGATGGGGCCCGGAGATCTCTTGGAAACGGGACTCCTGACAGAGATTACTTCCCCTAGTGTGGTGGTTAAGAGCAGCACACTCTAATCTGGAGAACCGGGTTGATTCCCCACTCCACACGAAGCCAGCCAAGTGACTTTGGGCCAGTCACAGCTCTCTCGGAGCTGTTCTCTCAAGAGCCTTTCTCAAAAGAGCTCTCTCAGCCCCACCTACCTTACAGGGTGTCTGTTGTGGGGAGAGGAAGGGAAGGAGATTGTAAGCCGCTCTGAGACTCCTTCAGGTAGTGAAAAGCAGGGCATAAAAACAAACTCTCCTCCTCCTCCTTCTTTTTCTCCTTCTTCTCCTTCTCCTAATGACAGAGATCACTTTCCCTAGCAAAAATGGCTGCTGTGGAGGTTGGATTCTATGGCGTTTTAACCCATTGAGCTCCTTCTCTTCCCTAAGCCACATCTGCCTCAGGCTCTACCCCCAAATCTCCAGGATTTCCCAACTCAGAGTTGGCAACCCTAGTTGCCAGGCAACCAGTGGGAGGGTGGTGGGTGGGAGAATGGGAGGGTGTGATGCCTTGTGCCCTGCTATGCCACTTCTGAGGAAAAGCTGGAAGTTATGTAGGATTGCTCTAGGAACTGCTGGAATCTCTATGGCAAGCATAGTCATAGGGCCGGCCATGTAGTCCAATACAACACTGCAGGAAATCTAAAGCTAGAGCTTTCCCAACAGATGACTTTCCAATCCCTGCTTGAAGAGCTGCAATGAAGGAGTTGAAAAGGCTGTTGAAATGGCCCAGGAACATACCAGTGGCAGTTTGGATTCTCAACATTGCCTCAACAAATGCTGGGAGATTGGGGGGAAGCCTATGGAAGGCACAGTTTGGGAGGATGTGATGTCATTTCTGGGTGATGCTCTAGGCTGCCTTTCTTATTCTCTATGGTCTTTACCACAGGACATTTTTTCTTTTGCTCCCTAGTTCATTGGGGGTGGGAAATTGGGGCTGGGAGCCAAGTGGTCGCAGCAGCACTGGGTTCAGCTTGGCTTGATAGTGACTCTCCAGGCCAGGTGGTTGTTTAGAACTATGGCCCACTAGTAGGGTTGCCAGGTCCTTACCAGCTGCCGGTGGGGGGCTCCAGTCTTCTTGCTGGGATTTTCTGGCATGTATGCGAAGTGCGCGTGCTGTGATGATGTCACCCAGAAGTGACATCATCAAGTTGCCAACTTTTTTTGGGGGGTTGCCACTCTAGTTTTTTGGGCAAAACTCCATGGCTTTTTGCTCTCAAAACCATAGAGTTTGCCCAAAAACTAGAGTGGCACCTCCCCAAAATCAGCAACACGATGACATCACTTCTGAGTGATGTCACCGTGACAGGGATGTCATGTGGCGACGTCCCTGTTTGGGGGTGGGCAGCTGGCTGGCAGTGGATTGAAGCCCCAAAAACTGGGGGGAACCCCTGGCTAGACCCTACCCACTAGGGACTTCCCTAGTGAGTTAAATGAGTCTGCTCCTGGGGAAGAGTCCATTGTTGGACTGCTCTTAGCATTAGAAAGCTACTCCTAATGTTCCGCTGAAATCTACCCTCCTGTAATTTAAGCCCAGCAGATACAACCATGCCATATGGAGTGGCAGAGAACAAATTTTTGCCCACTTCTACGTGATGGCACTTTAAATATACACTGTCTTGCCCTCCCTCAGTTTTCTCGAACCTAAACATCCAAGTTCCTTCAACCTTTCCTCATAGGACTTGTTTTTCAGGCCCCTCACCACCTCTGCTGCACTCCTTTGAATTTGTTTCAGTTAAGTGTTGGGGTTACTGAAGAAGGGAAGACATCTCTGTAGTGATTGCCCATACGAGGTCATTGGCTGAGGTGCTTCAGTCTCCATTTCCTTCCTGCAGCACATCGCTTTCCACAGAACATTCAAACCCTCTCCCTTTCCTACAGGTGTTGTCTTTCCATACCAGACCAGCCACGGGCGCTACAAATTCAACTATTTTGAGGCCAAACAAGCATGTCAGGGACAGGACTCCAGGCTGGCCACATATGGACAGCTGTACAAAGGTAACAAACCCACAGATTCCCTCTTTGGTTTGGCTGGTTAGTTCAAAATTATCAAGATGTGATCTTTTACATTCTGAATATTTTTTGCTCTGAGTGTTTTTTAATTGGTGGGATTTTAATTTTATGCATTTAAAAAAAATTCGGCAACCTGTGTATTTTAATGTCGTCATTATTATTTATTTAATTTATAACCTGCCTCAGGGCTTTTTTTGTGGAAAAAGCCCAGCAGGAACTCATTAGCCACACCCAACAGCAGAAACTTATAAGCATATTAGACCACACCCCTGACAGCACAGCTCATTGGCACATTAGGCCGCACCCCCATGTTACCAGAAGTGTGCTCATCCAGCCACACCCACCTTTTGCTCCTTATTCGGTTTACCTTGTTTGTTGCCAAAACCCAGGGCTTTTTTGTAGCAGGAACTCCTTTGCATGTTAGGCCACCCCCCCTAATGTAGCCAATCCTAATGAGTTTCTGCTGTTGGGTGTGGCCTATTATGCTAATAAGTTCCTGCTGGGTGTGGCCAACTTAGGAGCCAGCCAGAACTCCATTCCTGTGCGTTCCTGCCCAAAAATAGCCCTGACCTGCCTTATCCCATGAGTGAAAGCAATAAACCCAGTAAAACAGTAGATGACACAATATACAATAACAGAAGTTGCTTCGGTGCCCAAATAGCTTCCTAGGGGTACCTATATCCACCTGACATGAGGCACAGGTTCTTCTGTTATTGTATATTGTGTCATCTACTGTTTTACTGGGTTTACTGCTTTTATTGTTTTTTGGATTTTTTGTTGTAAGCCACCCTGAGCCCACTTGTGGGATAGGGCAGGGTATAAATGTATTTTCAATATATGCATTTTTTTAAAAAAAAATCTTGTTAATTGGACAGATATGTTTTGTGTCCTTATGACTTTGTTAACTTTACAACTTTGCATTGTTGACCACCTAAGTTCTGAGGAGATAAGATGAGATGTGAACAATTTAAACAAACAAATAGATAAATATAGAATTTCCTCTCAAGCTTGCTGCTGTTCTGCCCCCAATGACTCCAGCTTTCTGTGAGATGTCTGCTCACTTACATTAGAACTGGACTGTGTGACCAGGGAGATTGATGTTCAGATCCCCATTCTTCCACTGTCACTCAACAGAATTTACCTCACAAGATTGCTGTGAAAATAAAATGGAGGAAGAACCACGTATGGTGCCCTGACCTCCTTGGAGACAGGGACCGATAAAATCTATGAGAAATCCATAATGCACAAGAAATAGGACCATAGAGGAGGTGTGTGTGTGAATTAGGGACCATCCTGAGTAAGAAGTTTGGCTCTACGGGATGTGGTCACTGAGCACTGGCCCTGGATCTGTTACCTCTTTCTCTCCTAGCATGGACTGAAGGACTGGACTGGTGCAATGCAGGCTGGGTCATGGAAGGGACTGTACATTATCCGATAATTAACTCCCGTGAGCCCTGCGGGGGCCGTCTCCTTCTCCCTGGTGTCCGGAGCTATGGGTCCAAGGACAAGTCAAAGGATCGGTTTGATGCCTTCTGCTTCTCTTCCGCTGTGAAAGGTATGTGGACGGGCCAGAGCGGAGTGCTGATTAAGATTATATACCAAGCCACTGGCTAGTCCTCACTGTTAAAAATGAACTCTACTGTTCCCAACTCCATTTCCTAGATTCAAGACAAATCGGTATGCTCTAACACCCAAGGGCAGTCTTGGTTTTCTAGTCTATGTCCCTGGTAAATCTCTGTTTTATCTGTAACTTTATATGTTGTTAAAGTGTTGGCATGTCTTGCCAAGACTGTCATCTTCCAGGGTTCACCTTCCACCCCAGAGTCTCTAGAAATTCAATTTCCATCTTAGGAATGGATGCTTCGTTTCTATAGCACACATCAGTGTTCCTACAGTTGCTGCAGAACCAAGGCATCATGCAACGCACAGCTTGCTGTTTGTTTGAACAGACTGTAGGATAATTATGTTTCCTGCAATGTCTGTTAATCCAAAATCAAAAAGGCCTTTTCGTTTAAATCAGAGGAGGAGAGGGCCATTGAGCAGTAAACCTATAAATATAAATCTATAAATGGCTTAGGGTCAACAAATTGAAACTAAATCCTGGAAAGACAGAGGCAATGCTGGTTAGGAAGGCAGAGGTCTTGAAGGACATGGTGCTCCCCACTTTCGATGGGGTTCAACTTCTTGACTCATTTAAGAGCTTTGGGATTATGCTGCAACGAGCATTACTGCTGGAGAAGCAAGTGAATACAGCTGTAAAAAATGCTTTATTTCAACTCTCTCTGGCCTAGAAGAGGGCCCTCCCACCTTGACCCATCTGATCTGGCCACCCAGACCCACATCATGGTGACACTGAGGCTAGATTACTCTTAACGCCTTCTATGTACATCTGCTTTCGAAGTCAACTTGGAGATCCTAGTTGGTGCTAGGAAAAGACTGTAACACCGGAGAAAAATTGAAGGCAGTAGGAAAAGAGAAAAACCTGATACAGAATGGGTTGACTCAATAAAGGAAGGCACGTCCTTCAATTTACAGGACGTGAGCAAGCCTCTCAATGATAGGCAATGCTCCCTCTAAGCTGTGGAGTCTTGTGAGCAAAAATTCTACTTTGTGAGCTCCTGGCATTAAAGGTGTGAGCAAGCGACTTGGCTACTGCATGAATTAGTTTGCTCTGGAGCCAGGACAAAAATGTGTGGGCCGGAGGCTAAAAAACTGTGAGCTGGCTCACACTAACTCAGCTTAGAGGGAACACTGATGATAGGATACTTTGAAGATCATTCATAGAGTCATCACAAGTTGGACACAATTTTTGATGGCACATAACATGCAGGCAGAATATGCATATTACTCCCATTCTGCAGTCACTCCATTGGCCACCAATCAGTTATTGGGCTCAGTATTGAGAGCCAGTTTGGTGTAGTGGTTGAGGGCATGGAGAACCGGGTTTGATTCGCCACTCCTCCACATGAAGCCACTCTGAGTGAAGAGCAGGGTATAAATCCAATCTCAGAGGCAATGCTGGTTAGGAAGGCAGAGGTCTTGAAGGACATGGTGCTCCCCACTTTCGATGGGGTTCAACTTCTTGACTCATTTAAGAGCTTTGGGATTATGCTGCAACGAGCATTACTGCTGGAGAAGCAAGTGAATACAGCTGTAAAAAATGCTTTATTTCAACTCTCTCTGGCCTAGAAGAGGGCCCTCCCACCTTGACCCATCTGATCTGGCCACCCAGACCCACATCATGGTGACACTGAGGCTAGATTACTCTTAACGCCTTCTATGTACATCTGCTTTCGAAGTCAACTTGGAGATCCTAGTTGGTGCTAGGAAAAGACTGTAACACCGGAGAAAAATTGAAGGCAGTAGGAAAAGAGAAAAACCTGATACAGAATGGGTTGACTCAATAAAGGAAGGCACGTCCTTCAATTTACAGGACATGAGCAAGCCTCTCAATGATAGGATACTTTAAAGATCATTCACAGAGTCACCACAAGATGGACACAATTTTTGATGGCATATAACATGCAGGCAGAATATGCATATTACTCCCATTCTGCAGTCACTCCATTGGCCACCAATCAGTTATTGGGCTCAGTATTGAGAGCCAGTTTGGTGTAGTGGTTGAGGGCATGGAGAACCGGGTTTGATTCGCCACTCCTCCACATGAAGCCACTCTGAGTGAAGAGCAGGGTATAAATCCAATCTCCTGTATTCTGAATTGGACCATTGGTCCATCTAGGCCACTGTTGTCTGCTTTGACTGGAAGTGGATTTCCAAGGTATTTATCAAGGAAATATTTAACAGCAATGGAGGGAGAAGTAAGAAGAAGAACATCTTTGTCATCTGTCATGTCTTTGCTGGGGATTGTTTTCCCCACTCCTGTCTCAGGTACCCTATATATCTTTTGCATGACTACAGGAGAAAGCCCTGATGTGCAAGCTGAAGAGCAGGAGCCAAAGGGCTCAGCTTATTGACTCTTAGCCTGTGGCTCACTGTGTTTTCAGTCAAGCTAGCCAATGAATCTAGGACCAGTCTGAGCTGTACTTTATTGTTTTGTTTGTCATGAACTGTGAGTGCAACTCTGCAAATGGGCAAAATCCACAACTGTCCACACACGGGCATTCTCTGTTGTGGCCCCTACTTTGTAGAATGGCTTGCTTGATGAGGCCAGGAAGGCTCCCCCTTTCCTGGCTTTATGCAAACCTGAATTATTCAGGGGGGCTTTTTTAACACAGGTAATAGGGCTGTACTGTAATGAAATGATACAGAAAGATAATATAAGAATATAAGAGCCAGTTTGGTGTAGTGGTTAAGTGTGTGAACTCTAATCTGGGAGAACCGGGTTTGACTCCCTACTCCTCCACTTGCAGCTGCTGGATGACCTTGGGCAAGCCATAGTTTTGTCAGAGCAGTTCTTGAAAGAGCAGTTTGTGTCGGAGCTCTCTCAGCCCCACCCACCTCACAGAGTGTCTGTTGTGGGGAGGAGAAGGGAAAGGAGTTTGTAAGCCGCTCTGAGACTCCAAGTGAAGGGCAAAGTATAAATCCATTTTCTTCTTCTTTTTCTTCTTCTTCTTTAAAATGGGGATGGCAATTGGCTGTCTCGTTGTAAGGCCGGTGGTATGAGTTGTAATACACTTCCCATTTTTTCATTAGAAACAGGTTCCATAAGCCCCTTTCTTTTCCTTCAGGAGCCAGTTTGATGTAGTGGTTAGGAGCATAGACTCTAATCTGGGAGAACTGGGTGTGATTCCCCACTTCTCCACATGCAGCTGCTGGGTGACTTTGGGCAAGCCACAGTTCTCTCAGAGCTGTTCTCTCAAGGACAGTTCTTGAAAGAGCTCTCTCAGCCCCACCTACCTCACAGGGTGTCTGTTGTGGGGAGAGGAAAGGAAAGGAGTTTGTAAGCTGCTCTTAGACTCCAAGTGAAGGGCAGAGTATAAATCCAGTTTCCTCCTCCTCCTCCTGCTGCTCTTCTTCTTCTCATCATCATCATCATCTCTGTGACAGTCCTCCTATAGGTTCTTTTGTGCATTTAAACTGACCTACCTCCACCCCTTGCTGAACAATGTCTAGTCTGGCTCTTTCTTTCCTCTTCCCAGGCCGTGTTTACTTCATCCGGGGCCACCTGAATTTCAAGGAGGCCACTCAGGCTTGCCAGAAAGATGGCGCCACTGTTGCCAAGGTTGGGCAGTTGTATGCAGCATGGAAGTTTTCCCATCTGGATCGCTGTGATGGAGGCTGGCTAGATGATGGCAGCGTGCGCTACCCAATTATCACTCCCCGCACTGGCTGTGGGGGTCTCCCTGATCCTGGTGTCCGCAGTTTTGGCTTCCCCAGCAAGTTGCGGAAGAAGTATGGTGTCTACTGCTTTTCAGTGAAGTAGAGAAGATGAGAGACAGAGGCTAAGAAGTGTTCTCCTGACTTGAGGGGACAACTACGCCCAACTTTGTTCCTTGGGCTTCGCACACAAAATGGGTACTTTGTACATAATATCTCTTTCCCAGGGAGGTGTTGATGTCCATTGTTTAACAGGGACTAGTACCTTTGCTAGCTCAGACTTTTCCTTTCTCTCTGCTGGAAAGCTAAAGAAGGAACTCATGTTTCAGGCATATCTGAATCAGCCAACTTTTCACAGCTGTAAACATATTTCAGAAGTACTTCATTCAAGTTGCTCCTAGTCTGATGTCTTGTCCCAATTAATACTACACTTTAATCTTCCCAGCGAGGTACTAACTTCACCATGCTGTCCTTTCACGCTGCAAAGGAGCACCTTGCACAAATTTTCCAACATGTTTTCCAGTCTGTCCATTCTTCTGTCCTTCTTTCTACATAACTACCAGGTACTTTTGAAGGTATAAACCAGCTATCTTATTATAACTTTTTCTTGCTGATCATGTATACCCCCCAAGCATTTATTTATTTACTTGATTTATAGTCTGTCTTTCTTGCTGAGGCTTACAGTGAATTATAATTAAAAAACGACGTGCTAGAACAGTATAATACACGCAAGCATTTTATGGTCCTGGAGAGACATCCCACCTGATTCACCAACACCCACTTGTTTTGGCCAAGCAAATCATGGGCTCTTCTGCATTCTCATTTTCGTAGCTTGTGTGTCCCTATTGCTTTTCCTTTTTCCTTTTCTGCATGCATTTTGCTCCCTCTACTGGTCGATTTGATATTTATGCATTGTGCTCCCTTTACTGGTCGATTTGATATTGCATCACTGTATGTCCAGCATATTTCCCTGCACTTTAAATCTGTAGGAAAATATGCTGGACATACAGTGATGTAATATTGAACTGACCACTAGAGGGAGCAAAATACATGCCGAAAAGGGGAAAAAACCCTGAAGGAATAGGACGCACAAGTGATGAAAATAAGAATGCAAAAGAGTTCTTGGAGATGCAGAGATACCTGGATATGTCGTGTCTCTTAAAAAATAGCTTGAGATCACCCACTTAAATTTCACAGGACAGATGAGGAAGTGCACAGGGAGAAGGCATATGTATGAGCATTGATGATCCAGTGAACTGGTTGGGGGAAAAGGGATAGGAAACAGAATTGGCAGTTGTCATGGAAAAGGATTGCCAGTGAAGACACTAGCCATGTTTGGCACTTCTTCTCCTTCTCATGTTCACATCAAGCAGTGATGGAGGCTGTGAAAGACTGGACCCATTGATGGTTGGCAGGATCAGGAATGAGCACTGGAGGTAGAAAAAATGCTGAGGAATGCAGAAGTCTGGGGTGGTTGGGAGAATGAAATTACCAATCTCTGTTTTCTGGTTGACACCCCAGGTAAATCAGCGACTTTGTTTTGTTCCGTTTTCTTTCTTTCCTTCTTTTTGGTATTGTGTGTGCGCGTGTGCGCGTGCTTGTGAGCCTGGAAGTCATGGTGACTTCTGGTGACCCCTTGTGGGGCTAGGACATTTGAGAGGTGGACCCTAGAAGAATAGAAGGATGGAGAGAAAGCACAGGAGGGTAAAGAGTGGGAGGGATCTCCTCTCTCTTCTGTCATTGGCAGCCTGTGTTCTCATTCAGGCGAAGCAGACGCAAACTTTTGACAAGGGTAGAAGGTTCATCTTCTCCATTCACTATGGAACAGCACACACAGGAGCATCTTTCTATCTCTGTGTGAAGTGCTGGCAAGTCGCAACTGACTTATGGTGACCTGATACGCTTTTCAAGGCACGTGATTAAGCAGAGGTGGTCTGCCATCACCTTCCTCTTCAGGGTCTTCCTTGGTGGTCTCCCATTCAAGTACCGGCCCTGCTTAACTTCTGAGATGTGACTAGACTGGGCTGTACTATACCATTCATTGCCCCCCTCCATATCTACAGACCACTTATTCTATGTGTATATGTCAAGTGCCAAAGATTAATAAAATTCACTATCTGATTATTTTTTTTTAATGTTAAATCAAAAACCTTTCTATGGAGAATGGAAGTTATGCCATCCTTACTGCCATATATACTGTGAACTTTTCTAAGTTTCAAAAGGCTAAGAGGAAGACCCCAAAACTGAGATGGATTGACTCGGTAAAGGAAGGCACATCCTTCAGTTCGTAAGACCCGAGCAAGGCTGTTAAGGATAGGATGTTCCGGAGGTCATTAATTCATGGGGTCGCCACAGGTTGGAAGCAACTTAATGGCACACAACACACAGCTCAACAACTCAGTCCTAAGGATCTCACTGAGGACAAACAAGGATAATGTTCCTAACCACAAAACAAGAGTGAGTTGAGGATGGTCTATAAATCAGTAGCCTGCATAGCAAAACAATGAAGCCTCCATGTGCTCAAGCAGTACATCTCACAGTGCCAGATGTTGGAGGGCTGCTGTTTCAGGTTTTCTTTGGGGCTTTCTGGATGTCTCTAGCTGGTTTCTGCTGGGAACGAGATGCTGGAGTTGGTGGACCTTTTGTTTGATCCAGTGAAGGGGCTTTTATAAAGGAGATTTAGGAGTGGGGAATAAGGAGATTTAGGAGTGGGGAATTAGTGGCTGAGAGGCAGCTGCACAATCCCCAAAGTCCATGCAGGCCTAGTATAAACCAGCTTCAAGAGTGCAGTAACTAAGCAATGAGAAATCAAATGAACTATACAGCTTTTGTGGTAAAAGCCTCTTGAAAGCAAAGCAATTATTCCAGAGCAATTGTAGACCAAGCTGTTCACAAATGGGAAAAGGGTGCGTAGCAAGTCACTGGGCGTTACACAGTGGTGCAATGCTCCCAAGCTAGTCCATGTTGGCATACTGATATATTTGTATTTGCGTGTTCGTGAGCAAGCATGTATGCACACGTGTATGTAACTCAATGGTGATTCACCAGGCCCTGCCTTCCAATTTCTCCTGGGGGATGCCAGGTGCAGCGGTTTAGGAGTGGGGAATTAGCGGCTGAGAGGCAGCTGCACAATCCCCGAAGTCCGTGCAGGCCTAGTATAAACCGGCTTCAAGAGTTCAGTAACTAAGCAATGAGAAATCAAATGAACGATACAGCTTGTGTGGCAAAAGCTTCTTGAAAGCAAAGCAATTATTCCAGAGCAATTGTAGACCAAGCTGTTCACAAATGGGAAAAGGGTGCGTAGCAAGTCACTGGGCGTTACACAGTGGTGCAATGCTCCCAAGCTAGTCCATGTTGGCATACTGATATATTTGTATTTGCGTGTTCGTGAGCAAGCATGTATGCACACGTATATGTAACTCAATGGTGATTCACCAGGCCCTGCCTTCCAATTTCTCCTGGGGGATGCCAGGTGCAGCTGGGCAGTCCTGTGCCTGGCAGACCATTGGACAGCAAGAGCCCTGTCGTGACACATCAGCTCACTGCTCCAAAAGTTTTCCTATTAATCTAGCCCCCTGAGGTCAGGTGTCGTCTCTTTGTCCCTCGCTCCCCAGTTGCAATAGCCGGATGGGGAGGACTGGCCTGTTGCAACAGCAATGGATTTCATCCATCCAAAGCTCATTCTGTCCACCATGACAGCAAATGTGCTCCGCTGGGGGACAAGGGCGAGGGGAAGAGCTCACTTCGGATAGGGTGGATCATGGCTTAAAGGCACAGCACGTGATTTGTGTGCAAAAAAACTCCTGCATTCATTCCCTGCCTTCTCTCATTAAAAAAAAAATCTCAGATGGTAAGTATTAGGAAAGGATTTGGGGCTGGATCCAACCAGTTTTTCTACTGGTGAAAAAAGGAAGCATCATCCTCTGTTAGTCAAAAAGCCTTTTTCGGGGGACCTGCATGCGCAAAAGTCATGTAGCGTGGAAGCTGCAGCAAGGAGGGGAATTGGGGTGAGATTGTGTGGGAGAAAACTGGCCGGATTCAACCCTCTCTCTACCCAAGAACCTAGAAAGGACACTGCTGGTCAGAGTTGTTAAAGGTAAAGGTTCCCTTGCTTGAAAGCCAGTTGAATCCGACTCTAGGGTTGCGGTGCTCATCTCCGTTTCAAAACCGAAGAGCCAGCGCTGTCCGAAGACATTTCCGTGGTCATGTGACCGGCATGACTAAACACCAAGGCGCACGGAACGCTGTTACCTTCCCACTGAAGTGGTACCTATTTATCTACTTGCAATTTCTTGCTTTCGAACTGCTAGGTTGGCAGGAGCTGGAACTAGAGACGGGAGCTCACTCCATCATGCGGCACCCGGGTCTCAAACTGCTGAACTACCGACCTTCCACAGCCTGCAGTTCAGCGTCTTAACCACTTGAGCCACCGCAGCTCCTTCAGAGTTGTTACTGTGGAGCTATTTGGACCAGTGGTCTTTCTTGGTATAATAGAGCAACATTTGACAGACTGTGGCAGGGAGTCGGTTTTGCATACAGAAGATCTGAAATTCAGCCCCCGTCATCTCTAGTTATAGGTAGCAGGTGATGGGAGATACCTCTCAGTACATGAGCTGCAGGCAGTCACAGGTAACGATAACCAGCACTAATGGTCTGACTCTGTAGAAAGCCACTCCCAGTGTTCAGACTTCATTGGTGAGCATGAATAACAAATTCCAACTGCGTTTTCGAGGATAAAAAATGCTCTTGCACAAAGTACAAAGTTATATTTTATATTGCCGCTGAGAAGGAGTTGTTTTCTTTAAAGGAAATATTTAGTTATTAGAATTTCTTTATATATACACATAATAAAAAAAGAGCAAGGACTTAAGGCACCATTGTCATTTCCTGCTGGTTTGTCCATACTCCTGACTCAGACTGTGAACTGGGGTTGACGGACAGTCTTGGGTAGCTCTTCATTCCTGGAACTGGCCTATCCCTTTAGAGAGGAAAAAGAAGAGGGGGCGTTATAGTAATCTGTGTCATTATAGTAACAGTTACTGGCATGAGAAGATAGATCCAGGTAGGTAGCCGTGCTGGTCTGAAGCAAAGAAAAAGAAGAGGGGGCGTTATAGTATCTGTGTCCCAAAACTTGTCCCAAGAGTCCCAAAACTTTCTGTGTCATTATAGTATGGCATGAGAAGATAGATCCAGGTGGGTAGCCGTGCTGGTGTGAAGCAACAGAACAAAGTTTAAGTCCAGTGGCACCTTTAAGACCAACAAAGTTTTATTCAAGGCATAAGAGAGACCGTGGGGCAGGGGTTAGTTGCCAGGAAGGCCCCCCACCCTCTCTCTTCCTATATGTGATGGTTGAGGAAATTCTGTTTCACTGTATCTGAAGAAGTGTGTGTGCACACGGAAGCTTATACCTTGAATAAAACTTTGTTGGTCTTAAAGGTGCCGCTGGACTCAAACTTTGTCCTAGCATGAGAAGAAAAGGTGGGATGAAAAATCCTCAGAATGAACTATACCCATTGCATCAGATGTTATGGGCTCAGTCTAATCTAGATTGATTCACATGCAGAAAATAATCAGGTTCAGTTCTGGGACCTCTAGCTGAAAGGAGAACACTGGGGGAAATCCTCCTCTACCTGGGAGAACTCCTGCCAGTCTGAACAGAATTGCCCCAGACGACATGGATCCGTGGTCTAACTCCGCACAAAGCCACAACAATGTTACTAGGGAGGATCCCACATTAATGGAACATGAATGCAGAAATTCACTGCATCTGTTCGTGTCCATTCCTTGCCTCCCTTCTCTTCCTCTGTAGTCTTCCCCAGTGTCAATTTTAGACTGTAAGTGCCTTGGGAGCAGGGACCTGTATATTCTTTGTGCCGGAGGCTGCAGTACCACTGTTTGCCACAAGCAGTGGGGGTGCTGCAGAACCGCAGAGATCATCATGACATTTCTCCATAAGGAACCCAGGTTTTGCTTCCTGTTCGAAATTCTTTAGCACCTTATAACAAGATACTTCTGTAATATTAACAAAAGAGACCAAAGGAGGTCAAGATTTCCCCATGCGTGTGTAAGGACTCACTTGGGATACAGGTGAACTGTGGCTGCTCCCACTGGCCATCCTCTTGGCACCTGATGACAGGCGAGTGTTGTTGGGTGAACCCTTCTTGGCACCAGTACCGGATGATGGAATTGATTTCGTAACGCTGCTTTGGTTTGCCGAATATTTGGGCATTTGCCACCTCAGGGGGTGAGCTGCAAGACACTGGGGAGAAGGCATTTAACTTTGTTACTTTAAAAATCTTATTCATCATGTTATAATCCATTCTCAAGAGTTTAAAGGGAAATTATAGCACTTTAAAGCCAAGACAAAAATAAACTACCAATGTAAAAAAAAGACCCAAACTCTGAAAACCCAGCTAGAACTGCTTTTGACCAGTTTGAAAGCCAGTTTAAAAACATGGTAATTAGAGGTTTATTGCCTCTAAGCATGGAGGTTCTGTTTAGTTGTTATCAGGGCTTTTTTGTAGAAAAAGCCCAGCAGGAACTCATTAGCATAATAGGCCACACCCAACACCAGAAACACATTAGCATATTAGGCCACACCCCTGACAGAGCAGCTCAGTAGCATATTAGGCCACACACCCACGTTACCAGAAGTGTGGTCATCCAGCCACACCCAGCTTTTGCTTCTTATTCTGTTTACCTTGTTCGTGTCAGGGCTCTTTTTGTAGCAGGAACCCTTTGCATGGTAGGCCACACACCTCTAATGTAGCCAATCCTAATGAGTTTCTACTGTTGGGTGTGGCCTATTATGCTAATGAGTTCCTGCTGGGCGTGGCCAACTCGGGAGCCAGCCGGAACTCCGTTCCTGTGCGTTCCTGCCCAAAAATAGCCCTGGTTGTTATGGTTAACAAACAGCGAGGAACTTATTCCCAACTTTAATTTTTTTAAACTTCATTTAACCCACTTTTCTCCCCAATGGAACCCAAAGCTGTTTACATTGTTCTCCTGTCCTCCATCTTATTCTGTTGCCTAATTCTTTCATTTAGAAAAAATCTAAGCTAGTGGCCATCAGAAAATCTTCTTGTGGCAGTGAGTTCCACAAGATAATATGCATTATTAGAAGGACTTAAGAAGAAATACATTCCTAATTGTGAGCCTGTGAAATCTGTCTTTGCATTTCTGTGGGTATTCACATCTTCTCACACACTAATTCAGGACCCTAGCTTTATTTTGCAAAAATGGAGATGCGTCTTCAGACTGCAAATACAAAGAACTGTCACACATTACAGGGGTGTGCTGGGGAGCGGCTATGGCTCAGTGGCAGAGCATCTGCTTGGCATACAGAAGGCCCAAGGTTCAGTCCCCAGCATCTCCTGTTAGAATGACCAGGTAGTAGGTGATGTGAAAGACCTCTGCCTGAGACCCTGGAGAGCTGCTGCCAGTCTGAGTAGATAATACTGGCCTCGATGTGCTGATTCAGTATAAGAGAGCTTCATGTGTGTGTGATCATGTGTGCGAGTGCTATTATCTGCAGTTGGCTTAATTGCAGTTCATGGCCCCTGCCTCACTCAAGTGCAAGACATCTCTCAATGAAATATAACTCTGCCTGAGTTATTGCTGCACATAATTTATGAAACTGGCTTAATTGTTTATGACCTTAAGCACACACTTCATGATTGACAATGATCATATATTCTCAGACTTCCTAAGTTATTATGGATTTATTTATCAAACTTAGAGCTCACTCCCTCTCCCCCGAATGGGACTCAGGGCAGCTAACAGCATATTTTTTGTTGTTCAGTTGCACAGTCGAGTCTGACTCTTCGCGGCGACCCCATGGACCAGCTCCCACCAGGCCCTCCTGTCTTCCGCCATCCTCTGAAGTTGGCTCAATTTCATGTTCATTGCATCGATGACACTGTCCAACCATCTCATCCTTTGCCGTCCCCGTCTTCTTTGACCTTCAATCTTTCCCAGCATAAGGGTATTCTCCAGTGAGTGCTCCCTTCTCATTTGGTGGCCAAAGTATTTGAGCTTCAGTTTCATTATCTGGCCTTCCAGGGAACAGTCAGGGTTGATTTCTTTTAGGATTGACTGATTTGTTCTTCTTGCTGTCCAAGGTACTCTCAAGAGTCTTCTCCAGCACCATAGTTCAAAAGAATCTATTCTTTGACACTCGGCCTTCCTTATAGTCCAACTCTTGTAGCCATACATGACTACTGGGAATACCATTGCTTTGACCATGCAGACTTTTGTTGGCAGGGTGATGTCTCTACTTTTTATCATGCTGTTTAGGTTCGCCATCGCTTTCCTCCCAGGGAGCAGGCGTCTTTTAATTTCATGGCTGCTGTCACAGTCTGTGGTGATCTGGGATCCCAGGAACGTGAACAGCATATACAATAAACCAATAAAAACTACATAACAATATAATAAATAATCTTTAAAATATAAAATGGTTAAAAATCTATCCCCATTAAAATCTATCCACTATCAAGCCGAGTAGAATGTGTGGATGGTGAGGACACAGCTGAAGCATACCAGCTGCCTGGTGGATCACAATCACCCAAAGGCTGTCCAGAAAAGAGCAGCCTTGCATGCCCTGCGGAAACTAGGGCGGTCCCAAGAGGCACACAGCTCTCTGGGCAGCTGGTTCCACAGAACAGGGGCCACTACTGAGAAGGCCTTTGCCCTTGTTGACACAGGGCAAAGGCCAGGGACCTTCAATAAATGCCAAGATGAAGATCAGACAAGACAGGGAGGATCAATCCAGGAGAGGAGGTCCCGAAGGTATGAGGGTCCCAGGCAATGTTCCCTCTAAGCTGTGGAGTCTTGTAAGCAAAAGTTCTACTTTGTGAGCGATTGGCATTAAATTTGTGAGCAGGTAATTTGGCTACTGCATGAATTAGTTTGCTCTGGAGCCCCATGCTTCCTGAGCGAAGACAAAAATGTGTGAGCCAGAGGCTAAAAAACTGTGAGCTAACTCACACTAACTCGGCTTAGAGTGAACACTGGTCCCAGGCTGTTCAGGGCTTTAGAGGTAAGTACCAACACTTTGAATTGGCGCTGGAAACTAACTGGGAGCCAGTGCAGCTGCCATAGGATAGGTGTTCTATATGCTGATCAGGACACAACTGCCAGCAATCTGACAGCTGTGTCCTGGACCACTTGCCGCTTGCAGGATTCTGGACATAATCTATGTGGGATAGATAAGCTTTTGCTCTCACACCAAGGCGGCCATCCTTAACCAAGCCCCAAAAGGTGCTTAAGAGCTTACCCAGCCCCATTTTGCAGGTGTAGGACAGGTGGTAGTTGCAAGGCACATCGCTCCACTTCCCCTCGTCATGCCACACGATCACCACGCAGTTCTCCCCAGAGAGGAAATAGCTGTCAGGTTGCCCAGGATGCCAGTTCTCATATAGCTGCCAAAGAGGGGGGGGGGAAAGGTGATGTTAATCAAGAGTCCCAAAACTTTCTGTGACCCTGACCTGTGCTGGAGGAAAAAGATGGGAAGACAGACATCATGATGCGCTATATTAGGCCATCTTGCCCTTTGGGCAAACTATGGATTTGAAAACAGGAGTTCCATTCTGCTTAATGCCTCACTGCATTGGCTTCCCCACCCTGTTTGCATCCCTTAAAGTTCTCTACACAGCCTTGACCTTCTGTGCCAATCTGCTCCAGGGGGTTCTGACGGGGTAACAGTATTCTATGTTTAAATGAACTTAGAAGTGTCCTGGATTTAGATTTAGGTTGGTTTCCACTCCTTTGCATGGAACAGGACCATTTGCAGACATCACCTACCACGGGGCTGCCATCCGACCACTGGAAATCCCCTTCAATTGTTCGGTCATTCAGGCCGATCCATTGGTACTCTTTGTATTGATCTGGAATAAAAAATGGACAGTAGTTCGATGAAGATTAAAGACATTGCAGGAAGCAAATCTGCCAGTTTTCTGGGCTTGGGAGGGTTCTTTAATATTGAAGGAACCCAAATTCTTATGCCCTCCCAATCCTGAATTCAGCTGTTCCATCAATTTTTTTGTTCAGAGATTTTATGCAAACTTGCTTTGCTATGACCTTTTTGGAAAGAATGCAGTCCAAGCATGTTTGCATGCTGTCTGGATGAGGAGGTGCACATTTTTTTTGAACTCTCTGCCCACATTGGCACTATTTTCCTTCAGTCAGCCCCTCTCATGACATTTTCCCACTGGAAAGCTTAAAAAAAAACCCTGGTAATTGCAATCGCGCTGTTACACAGTAATGTTATAATGATCTATTGTGACAATTTACTAGTTTCTCTAATTTCCCAGCTTTCATTTTGTAGGAAGAGTAGATCTCTAGCCCTTTTTATTGCAGAGATATAAGAGGGAAGATGCAGGCAGTTTTTGTCCACATTGACTGGAAAGGAATGGGAAGCTGCAAGACAGCCGGGGAATTCACTACTCAACATAACATATGGATAAATGGCTCCTCATTCTCAGCAGCAATGAAAGCAACGCAGAGAATCACAACTGCATGGATGCAGCCTAAGAATTGTTAGCACTTGTGAAATAAGATTCAGATGAAACAGCAAGGCAGCAAAGTCTGCAGATAATAAAAAGTCATTTTCGGGATACAAAATCGCAAGCTGACTGCAAAGTGCGTTTCCATAAACTAAACATTTCCAAAGTATGGAATGAATCTCTCCCTTTATTGTTGCCTCGCATTCTTATCTCCTAATTTCTAACCCAGGATGATTATTCTGAGACGTCAGCATAACTAAAAAATAGATAGCAGAAGTGCTGGTTAGGGAGGAAAAAACACACTTTATTATCCCCATATTGCAAAAAATAGGTATCAACACTGGTATCTATTATTTTCTGACAAAGCTCCTCTGCAGCTGCAATTTCATCCCTCCACTGCAAAGCACTCAATTGTATCATTCAAGTTTGAATTGAACCAGCACATGTGTAAAATTCATTTACTTCTCTAAAGAAAGTCAAAAGACCTGCAGCACCCACTCCGCTATACCTTACAGTGACTCTAGATGGCGGCATACTATAGTACATGAAAAGGGCTAACACTGTTTTGGATGCAGCATGTGGAATAACATTTTGTTCCATATGTCTGTAGAGATTAACAGTAAGTAATACAACAATCCAATTAAATTATTTAAATAAAAACTTAACATTCATCTCTCAACTGTAGTACATCTCCTTTACTGTTCAAGAACATCAAAAGGTCAAGCAAAGATGTACAACTGGATATCATGAAGGCATAAGAAACTACATCTCTATACATTGTACAGGGATGCGTGAAACTTGACCCTATTACCCTGTAGAGCTTCACATTTTTCCACCCCTGACCTGCCCCCAGGTTTTGCATATTCACTGAAAGGCTGCAAAATGTCTCAGACAAGGTGCAAATCAGATATGCATCTGAGCACACATCAAAATGCGGATCCTGTCCCTTGCTTTCAGTGGGATGCACAGCTAAACATGCACCAGGATGCATGACTAAATGCAAATGCTGTCCATTGCTGTCAGTGAGATCTGCATTTAGATATCAAGTCTTAACACCCATGCTATGAGGCACAACAGTTTGCACATCCTGCAACTGATAATTATTATTATTTAATTGACTCAGACACAATGTCATCTTCATTACTCATCTCCATCAGCAAAACTGCAGCACTTCTATTGAAAACACAACCTGCTAGATTATTGCATTCCTAACATACACCGTACCAAAAACAGTACTGGGATCCTCACATACCATTGATGAAGCCCTGTTCTTCCGGTGTCATGATATTAGCAAGGTGTCCTCCGTGGCTCCTGCACTGGGTCTCGGCTTCTTCCCAGCTCCGCCGGGTGGAGAAGTGCTTATAGCAAGAACCTTGGAAGCTGTCCCAGCCAGGCTTGCATTTCTCCAGGTCTGGAAAGAGAAGGAAAAGGAATTTAAAAGGATTTTTGCTCTTGTTTTTGAAGAGGGGGGATTTTCCTACCTTGGAGATGCATCCCCAGTTTGCAAATGAAAAAGGTGTTACCCAATTACTACGTAGATCTTAGTTGATTAAATGCGTACGTCTGCTTTACAATGGCATTCAGTATCATTTATATCTTTTCTCCTCCTCGATGTTAGGTATTTGCATACGTGCATTGATAAAACACTGTAAAAAAGTAATCTTGATGTTTTCTTATGTATGATTAGTATCTTTCGGTGCGATGTTTTACAGCAGTGCCTGTGATACACCACTACAAAAGAAAGCCTCGATACAACCTTACATGCTTTATCAAGGCACATGTTTGCATGAGCAATGTACAGAGGAAGAAAGAGACAAATGACCTTTTACTTTACTTTACTTTACTTTACTGCCCTTTACTACTGGAAGGCGTCTCAGAGCAGCTTACAATCTCCTTTCCCTTCCCCTCCCCACGACAGACCCCCTGTGAGGTTGGTGGGGCTGAGTGAGCTCTTTTGAGAGCTACTCCTGAGAGAACAGCTCTGAAAGAACTTGTAACTGACCCAAGGTCACACCAGCAGCTGCATGTGGAGCAGTGCGGAATAAAACCAGGTTCTCCCAGATCAGAGTCCGCACTCCTAACCACTACATCAAACTGGCTCTCCTAAATTAAGCTAGAAATACGTGGAAAAAATATCTGTGCAGGGAGAATTTTTCTAATCCTTACCACTGAAATTTCTGCACCTTGACTTTAGAATGAATTAAAACTGGGGGTCAGCTCTACTCACCTATCTGACAAGCATCTCCTCCATATCCTGGTAGGCAGAGACACACAAAGTGGTCACCCTCTTCCATGCAGGTGCCTCCATTCATACAAGGATTTGGAATACAGTCACCTGAAAGCAGACACAGGCAATGAATGCCAGCCTTATGGCTGGAGGGAGCAGTGTTTGGAAAATGCCAAGATCATTTTGGAAAGCCACGGCTATGAGTGACTGTGACGGAAATAAAGGTTTGGTGAACAGCAGCAGGTAAACAAGAGAGCTGCTGAGTCACAAGCCTGAGAGTGATGGGGGCAAGATTGCTCGGAATTCTCAGTGAGTGACAGTTAACAGTTGAAAGCTGACAGTTGAAAGCTGACAGTTGACAGAGTCAATTGGAAGAGAGTTAGCTGGAGAGCTCTTGAGAGGAAAGGAGCCTCTGGAGTTGAGTGAAACAGCAAGCCAGCAGTTTGAGGAAAACTGGGGCTGAATAACACTCCTAACTGGTACCCTCTAATGAGAGAGGAGAGTGAACGGAGAGGAGAAACAATATAACTCCTCAATAGTCACAAAACACCATATACACTGCTCCAAGGGAACCTGTAAGGTGGTTAAAGGAAGGACTAAGGGTCTGGAGGAGACTGGATAAGCTGGGGTAGTCGCACCAGTCAGTCTCAGGGAACCAGACAAATAAAGTCCAAAGGCTAACCACAATCAGTTACTGGAGAGTGGAATCATAAATGGTTTCTGTGTACCAAAGACTTTCTGTGACAAACAGAGTGATAAGCCTACAGCCTATGTTACTGCAGAGTGAAGCTTTTATTCTATAAAGAAACAAAATATCCTGTGTAAATATCCCATCCCCCTGTTGAGTTTTCTGTGAAATAAAGAACTGTGCTGTTTGCCTTCCACAAGCATTGGTGCCTGACTTTTTGATAAACATTTATATCTGGCAGTTGTTCTCAATCCATCCACAAGAAATATAAACCCCGAAGAGACTACTTTTTTAGTGTGAACTGGTCAGCCCTGAGAAAGTAAAGGTGATCAGTCACTTCAGAGTACAATCTCTGAATCCAGTATAATTATATATATACAGGGATGCCCCAACTCGGTCACGGCAATGGCCGGGAAGAGGTCATTGTGTCACAGTGACAGCCCGCTTTAAACCCATTGCCTCATCCATTATGGGGAAGAGGTTCCAGCAGTCCTGTTCAGGGTATATAAAGGCTCCTTCAAAGAGCTTGGTTGCAAAAAAAAAAAGGTCATCAAAATGTGCAATAGCTTGGTGTACCCTCCCTACGGAAAAGGGTTTGGGGCTCTTCAGTTCCTAGAATGAAAAAGACAACCAAGGAGGGCCACAATAACTTTGTTATAAGATTATGCATGGTGTAGAGGAAGTGGTTAGACAGACTCCCCCCCGCACACCTTTTTCCATAACCGTAAAACTCATGGAAATTGATGGACAGTGGATTCAGAACAGCGAAAAATGAAGTACGCAGTGTACAATGTATGGAACTATGCCACATGACATAGTTGGGACCATTGGTCTAGGTATACTATATGGCGACTAGACATATAGTTCAACACAGGATGCTCTACTGCAGGGATCCACAGTAGTTGATGTCCTCTCCTGAGATCGCATGCAAAGACCTTTCAGGCAGCCGCCCCACCCCTTTGAAATTCTCCCTTTCTCTGCAGGCTTTCCAACACCAGTCAAAAACTTTTTTATCCTAGGAATAATTTTTGACTCCCCCACTTTGGCTGTGCTCAGTTCCTGATATATATAAATTGTGATATGCTTGAGCTTTTCAAAAGGGAAAAGTGACACATAAATGTGCCAAATAACAAACAGAGTCTCCATGTACTGGGAAAGTGTATCTCTGACTACTAGGGGTTGGAAGGCAAAGAGTAGGTTTTTATACCCCACTTTTCTCTACCTTAAGGACTCTCAATCTCTTTCTCTTCCTCTCCCCTCAACAGGCACCCTGTGAGGTAAGTGGAGCTAAGACAGTTCTGAGAGAACGGTGACTGGTCCAAGGTCACCCAGCTGGCTGCATGTGGGGGAATGGGGAATCAAACCTGGTTCTCCAGATTAGAGTCCCCTTCTCTTAACCACTACACCATGCTAGCTCTCAAGACGGAAGGCCTGCAGCCTTCTTGCCTTGTCTGTGTGCTTCCTGGAACCACCTGGCTGCCTTGTTCCTTGCTGTGGTCTACCAGGGTATTTCTAGTAGTTACTGCAGCGCTGATGCCATCCCCCTTGCTGCCCATTCCTTGCTGTGCTGTTAAAGCTGGCCTCTGTTGCCTCCTCCTTCTTTCTTGTCCACTCTAACTCAAGTCAGGGCCAGCTCCCTGTTTTGGCGCCCTCATCACCATGAAGAACATTGTGGCCTCATCCTTCTCAACCCCATTTAACTGCTCCTCATTCAGAAAGTAAGCAATGGTGGCTGCTGGTGCTTAGGCAGCTGGTGCTTGCTGATCTGTCCAGTTCAACATACTGTTTCACACTAGGGTTGACAGACCCCACTGACAGGCCCCACCTCCCCACAACCGATCAGCTGGTTGGTGGTGGGGAACTTCCCCCCCCCCAAAAAAGAGGGAGATCCATCCAACATGCAGCGATGTGTCTACATCACTGCCCATGTGACCTGGAATTGAGGTCATAACATCTGGGACGTCAGGGTGACGCTCTGGTATTTGGGCAAAAACTCTATGGTAGAAGCCAAATTTATCATAGAATTTTTGCCCAAGTACCAGAGCATCACCCCTGGCGTCCTAGACGTGAAGACATCACTTCCGGGTCATGTGGGTAGTGGCATAGACATGTCGCTGTACGTCAGGCGGGCCTCCCCATTGCTCCCAGTAAGTCTTCCCCTCCCCTGCCAGTTGCCAGGAGGGACCTGGCAACCCTATTTCACACAGTGGCCAACCAGTTGCCCTGGAGAACCATCCAATATGCAGCGATATGTCTGTCACTGCCCATGTGACCCAGGAGTAACGTCATAACATCTGGGATGTCAGGGCAACACTCTGGTATTTGGGTAAAAACTCTATGGTAGAAGCCAAATTTACCATAGAATTTTTGCTCAAATACCAGAGCATCACCCCTGATGTTCCAGACGTGAAGATGTTACTTCCGGATCACGAGGGTAGTGACGTAGACATGTTGCTGTATATTGGATGGGCCTCCCTACTGCTCCTGGTAAGTCCCCCGTCCCCCGCAAGTTGCAGTGAGGGACCTGGCAACCCTATTTCACACAGTGGCCAACCAGTTGCCCTGGAGAAACAACAAACAGGACTTAGATCCCAAGACCTTCCCCGATGCTGCCCCTAGCACTCATATTCAGACGCTGATTGATCCTCTATATATGGAGGTTCCTTTTAGTCACCATGGCTGACAGCTACGGATGGACCTATCCTCCATGAATTGAATTCTTCATGCCACTGCTGATGGTTGCTTTTCCAGCAAATAACTGGAGATGGCTGCTATATGCAACAGTAACCACTACCATACAAAAGGAGAAAGGAGGGAAATTTCTGGCAGGAGCATCTAATCGAAGGGCATCGAACTCATTTTTTATGAGAGCTGGATCTGACATAAATGAGACCTTGTTGGGTCGGGCCATGTGTATCATAAAATGTAATGCCTTGTAGTGGAGATATAAACTTTATAAAAGACACAGACAAACACAATTAAAGTGTTTTGAAACTTTAAATAAAACATGCTTAAAACACTAGCACTCTTGCAATATTTTGTCTATTTAACTAAGTCTCTGATAACTGACATCTCTTGCTCTGAATTATTGCATCAAAATGTCTGTGCTGTAGCAATCTTGAGTATGCTGTTCAGGTGTGTATCTTTTGATTTATTGACATTCATTATAGAAATCTCAGTGTTCTGAGCCTAGGACCCAGGGGAAAACATGAAATGGTTGGGCATCGCGAGCTTTTGTACATGTTGCTTCATTTGCTGGTCAAGAACATGAGACGGCATCCTGACACAGATGGAGTGCTGTTTGTTTGTCTACAAAACTATAGTCTTCCCCAGAGAAATAACTACAACTGTCTACAAAGGAAATGTGCTGGGTGAACTTGTTCTGGACACAAACACTCTCAGCCTAATCCACCTCACTGGCTTGTTGTTTTTTCTCCTCTAAAATAGTTCACATTGCTTTCTTACTGAGAAAGACTGGATCATGAGGGCATGAACACAGTGAAAAGTGGGAGGGAACCCGGTTGCATCCAGGAGGGCCCTGGCATAAGGATCCCCCACACACACACACAGCATAAGGAGCCCAACAGAATACACACACACTGTAGCAAGGCACACAAAAGCTCACACCTTGAACAAAACTTTGTTGGTCTTAAAGGTGCCTGGTATTTCTGGCATGCAACTGAGGCAGCCCAGCAAAGCAAGCTCTCCCTCATTCCCTCCCTCCCTCCAGGGAGAAGCCTCAGCCAGTGGAAGGAAAGAAAGGCTTTGCTTTGTCTCCTGTATATGATTGAGGCAGCCTGGCCTAGGAGAAGGAGGGAGAGGAGCCTCAGACAGTGCTTTACCAGACTCTCTCAATTGCACAGGAGAGGCTTGCCTATCTATCTCTCCTGTGCGACTGAGTCTGGTAAAGTAAGCTGTGATGTAGCAGCAGCAGCAGAGCTGGAAAAGGAAGCAGGAAACACCCAGGACCTTGCAGACTGGATTGCAGCCCTCCAAGGGCCTGATCTGGCCCCCAGGCCGCATGTTTGACACCCCTGACTAATCTCTAATCTTGCTGTAACTGCTCATCCACTCAGGCAGGCATGGAGGGCCCAAACTTGCCCCCCCACATAGCATAACAGGCCGGGCAGTGATGGCCGCTGCTGTTGAATGGCAAGTCAGGGGTTGACAACGGCCCCTCCTGAGGTACTCAGGCCTCGGCAGGTGCCCAAAAGTACTGAGTCTTGAGGCCAGTCTATCTCAAGCACGGCCTTCTAATGTGCAAGTTCCCATCCCATCTGACATGTGCCACAGGGGTTAGCATCTCCAGGGTGCATTAGTGGTGGAAAGTGCCACCAAGTTGCAGCTGCCATAGGTTGGCCCCATAGGGTTTACAAGGCAAGAGACATACAGAGGCGGTTTGCCATTGCCTGCCTCTGTGTAGCAAACCAGGACTTCCTCAGAGGTCTCCC